TGTGTGTGTAAGGTTTTTTTTGGTATTGTTTTGTTGGTTTGATTTTTGGTCAGCTTTTTTGGCTGCTGATTTTGTGCAAGGGTAAAAAAAACGACATATTATGTAAGTAAGACGAAGACCGAGAGCCATGGTAAACAAACACACAAGCCACCACCACTCGGAGAACGAGCGGCGCTTTTGTCGCAAGTTCACGTCAATGTCCATTGTTACTTTGTTAAAGAATAAGTAAACAAAACAGTGACCAGTCACCTCACACATGATTTGTGCATGAGTCGTGAGCGGGCTTATGATGGATCACGCTTCCCTCACCAGCAGCTGAAAATGTATTTTTAGGCCTACCCATTGGTCAACTTGGGTATACATTCATTAAAGTGAGGGACTAACAATAACGACAGGTGAATAAATTATGACAGCCCGTCCACAGTGCGAGGGGCCGACTCAAAATTTATGACAAAGCATCGGGGCAATGTGTGACCTCGCCTGGCTGCCTCAGGCAGGTAAATTTGACAGTGGGTTGATAAAATAAGGTGGCCGCGGGTGCCTTGGACAAGTGACCGTTTTACACAGTTAAAATAACTAGACAAAATGCAAGGGGGGAAATGGAAAGTGGTCATTTGTACAGGTGGCCGTCATGGTAGGTTCGACTGTAGTTTGTCAGACATGAACAAAAACAACAACCCTTTAAGTTTCTAAAACAAGGGTTTAAATACCCCTTAAGATAGACAACCAAAGGGTGAAAGAACCTCTTAAGTTGGCCTGAAAAGGGGAGCCCTGCATACATACATACATACAAAGGAGGAATAGGAGGGGGGGGGGGCGCACACACGGTAGAACATTTATAGCAAGGTCAAAGCATTCTTTCTCTTATCCAAAATGGAAAGCAAAATCATGATACCAAGACATGCTGAGACTGGGGATTAACACAATGCAGACACAGATACTCGTTCAAACATAGACAGAAAGAAAACTCATAATTTCAAGTGATCAGGAATGAAGAAAGATGAAAATAATGACACACAAGAATGAAGAAACAGAAATAAATTAAAACCTAAACGGAGGAACTCTCTTCTTTAACTTCCATACCCTAACAGTTAAACATGTTTACGCCTCTGTGAGCCATGCTATATTTTGTTCAATGTAATTATTTATTGTTCCTACTTGTGTTCATCCCTGTGAGCCTTGAGAAGTTTGTGGCGGGGAAGGGGGGGGGGGTGCATTAAAGTCAGTAAATCCTCATTATCTACAAACTAGCCGCCACTCAATAGTGTCCTTTCAGACAGCTGGTTGTTTCACATGCCAGCATGTTTATATAAAATACTACATCAGTGTCGTCACACGTCAGACATGGGGGCCTTTTTACCTTAATCGGCATGACCGGCGTGCCCCCATTTACATGAACAATCTGAGTCCCCACCCCGCTATCCATGAGCAGGCCAAGTAAATAAACAACATCTTGCCCCTAAATTTTCAGTGCAAGCTTGCAGATTTCCTCCTAAGACCGCCGAGACGCTTCCATGTGAGTCTCAAAAAGTATTCACCCGTCTGTTAAACTGCACATGTATTGCTCTTGAGGTTCAACGCCCCAGAGTGGACACACGCAGCCCCCATTTATTAACGTGGGGGACATCACAGCCATGAACTCTAGTACTAAATATTCTCTCTACTCTTTGGTGACAACTTTCTTTAGTCTTACCTTAGCAAAACAAATTTTAACCTCCTGCACGGAATTCTTAGACGAACTTCAGGGAATTTCATATCCATAGCTCAGATAGTACATAAATATCTTTCATCTTCCCCTTCCAAATTGAATTTTGTTGGCTACTATGTGTTAAGTTACTATACTTTATAAAGCAATAGTACCAGTCAGGTTCCACAGAACTTCTGTTAACGAAGCTGTTCTGAGCACATTTCTGCTTGCATTGATCAATCAGATCGGTGACCACATAAGACAAGAGAATAAGTAACCAGAGCTGTTAAAGTACTTTTAAAAAGGTATTTAAGTACAATCTAAAATATGTACTTAAGTGCAGTAAAAGTACTTTCCTGTAAAATGTACTTCAGTACAAGTACTTTTTTAAAAAGTACTTATGAGTACATTTTGAGTACTTTCTGCTAATATGATAAAACACTTCAGTGCTAATGCAAAACATCATATTGAATAACATATCTAGTATACAAATTAGGCCATTTATTACTAATAATGTAAACAGTATACAAAGCATTTGAATATACGCACTGAACGTAGGTGGAAATCGTCTGTGAAATGGAAAAAAAAAACAGCAAACAAACAGACGCAACTAGTCAGTAAGTGATATCATGAATAGAACTTGTTTGAGCAAGACAATATGATCAAATGTAAGTCAGTCCCAGAGGTCGGAAAGTAGGAAAAGTACCCAAATTGGAAAATGTAGAGACTAAGTTGCTCTTAAGAAAAAATAAGATGGATGAAAATGGCCAGCAAAAAAATGGAAACCTGCAATGAATTCTTCATTAACAAATCCTCAAGAAATCAAGGTAGCCTTAAGCACAAACCACAAAAAAAGTTTAATAAAAGAAATTTAGGTAGCCTAAAAAATTGTTATATACATTGAGAACTCAATTTCAGTTTCAATTGATTATAATAGTGGTAAGACAGATTTTGGTCACACTGTGTAGTCCACGGCGCCCACGGCAAACCAAAATAAGCCTACATGTAATTTCCTAGAGTCTAGTAAGTGTAGTGTAACCAAAAATTCTCTACTACAGTAGTCTCCGCCTAAGATCCCAGTGCTTGGGAGCAAGGGAAATACGGGATCACCCGGATCTTACCCGACAAAGCCAAGGAAGAATCTACAGTGACCCATGAACCTGGGTGGATTTATGACATATGGCGAGCAAAGAATGGTAAACCTTGATGACCAATCACAGTAGCATGGTAGCATGAGGCATGCATTAATATTATACCGTACACTCATTAGCATATCGTCTCGAGATCTTTATCTACGTTTATCCAGTTGCCCCTCCCCTTTACCTGTCCAAAAATTGTAGCCTTCCATCTCTGATTGAGTCCCCCCCCGCCTTTGTCGCTACGTACCATTCCATTATGCTGTGACCACACCAATTAAAATTCAGGCTGTCTCGCAAAGTCGGGAATAGAGAAAAACTGCCTTCAACTTCAATGGTCAGGGAAAAGTTCACAGTTCGATGTGATCCTGCCTGGAGCGAACTTGTAGGCCCTACCCACCCAGCGAGTGATGTGAGTTCAGGTGGCGAGCTCAGATTCGAGTGCGATGTTTGGGGAAAAGAAACGCATCGGTCAGTTCACACCTCGGTGTGATCCCGTCTGGGGATCATTGTACCGTTTCATGGAGTTTCACAATGCTTGTGATCACATTCACTAGAGTGGCTGATCTTTGACGCGACGGGCAGTTCTTTGATCTCAACTTTTAACTCTTGGTTGATCGGCTGTGCCCGCCCGGGTGTTTGTTCCGTAAATTATGATCAGAAATGCCAGCACTTACTCTTTCATTAAGCTTCAAAAGTACTCAAAATGTACTTTAAAAATACTCAAAAGTACTTCTATAAAAAGTATCGGACTACCGTACTGATTCTCAAAATGTACCGGAGTACAGTAAAAGTACCGAAAATTGTAACGTAAGTACAAGTACCGCTGTAAGTAACTGTGTTATAGAGAAAGTGGAAGGACAGAACAAAACATGCGAGTCTACGATGAAATGAAACATTTGAACTGGTGATTATTTCCTGTGACTGACAGTATGAGTAGATTTAACTGTGATCAAATTTCACACCTGATTAGTAAGATAAAAACAAGAAAAGATGAACTGTTCTTCACAAACAATTTTTACAAAGGAACACCAAAGTACAAACTGATAACATATGCTGGTCAAAACCCCGAAAGAAATCAATTCAAACATTTCACTGCATTGCAATACAAAACATCACCCAAGAAGCACTGTCACAACCCCCTCTCCAAACTGAATGTTTAGAGAACAATAAGTGCAAAAATACAAAATGTATGATGAAGTAAAAACAATAACATGAGAAGACAGACAAGTCAGTTCAAAGCTTCCAATGCAATTAGCGTCAAAATTACTGAGATTGTCAAGTGAAAAGGCTTAAATCAGGTGGTTTGTTAAAAGGATTCTGAATATACAAAAACCCATAATACGTAATAATCATGGCTGGTGCTGCATCCCCCCCCCCCCCCCTTTACCCTCAAAATAGTGGGGGGGGGGGGGGGGGAGGTTGTTTGGAATTGAAAAGGGGAAAGCAAACAGAGACCAAAAAATCCCTACTGTGTACTGTTACACGCAGCTGATAACTCACTTTGCTGGTCTTTCACAACACAAATTAAAACATTTAAAGTGGTGATATCATCTCAAGCCATACTGAAGAATAATATCAATATAAGGCAGACAAAATAATCATTTCAAAGACAATAAATTATAAACGTACTTGTATATATATATATATATATGGTTCTTCAATACTTAAGACATTTTCTATTCCCTGTTTGACAATCAGTTCTTCTAAAAAAAAACCTACCACACAATACCGTAAACATAACTGTAGTCATTTGATGTCGATTACAGTTTACACATCCGATACCGGATGTTTAGTATTCGTTCTTGCCAAGTGCTACTCCATGGGCAGATCTAAATCTCGGGTTCTGATGATCATAAACAGAATCTAATTCATTTTTTTGAAAGGATCTGGTTCCAAAAGTTGTGGAAGTCACTTTAAAAATGATCTTATGTTATTTGTAAAAGGATGCAACTGAACAGTAGGTATGAGAATTTCAAGGTGCATTCGTTAGTGGACAGAATATTGAAGTGACCTAATTACCGATAACTCACCCTTCTGCCCGGAATGCCGAAACAAGGCCCCGCGGCGTTAAAGTATGAACATGGTGCGCAAGCCCAGTCAGTGACTGAGCAATTAAATATGATAACAAATGATAAGTAATTCTTCGAAAAACTTGACGAATTTGCTTTCCCAGGCTTGCCAACTTTTGAGATACTGAATTCAGGAATTTTGATGCGCTGGAGCGCCACGGTCAAACACTTCTGTGATAGGCTACTAAAACTACTTTTAAAAAACCACCCACACCATAAAAACAGCGATTTTCGGGAAACCAGCGTTTCGGAAAAGGTTCGGGAACGATGACGGCAGTTCGGGAATTTCCCGAAAAATTCGGGAAGGTTGACAAGCCCGCTTTCCAATTATGGATGGGACCAGATTATGTCTTGTGTGCATGGACTTAAAATCGGATTTGTTAGCATAGCGTTGAACGCATCTGCTGCACTATATCATAACAGGACCAAATTAGCTGTCTATATTTTTTTAAATTTGGTAACCAAATATGTGAAGTGTCACGTTTGGAACAAAAGAGAAGGACCATTGATTGCCAATGAATTCTCTTCTTGTGTCAGTAACTGCCTGGAGCCTAGTCTACTGACAATAAATATGCCACATTCATTATATACAGTGATGGCTCTACTTATCAGACCACAACGCTATCTTGTCAAATGCAACCAGCGACATTTGTACCAGATAGGACAAAACTGTTGAACACACAATATCTTGAAAAAGAACAAATGCAAATGGAAGTGGACAGCACATACAGAGATAGAAAGGTCCCTGAAAAATGGTAGGGTCTATGTGCTCATGGATAATCTTGAATGTTTTTAAGAAAGCAAGACAATTATGGTTTGCTTTAACCCTATCTGTACGTCCTGGGGTCATTTTGTACCCCCGGGGTTGTATTCTTCGCATTATAGAGTATTACTTCTTGCGCGAAGATCTCTTTGAAACTTTCAGTATTTCTCAAAAAATCATTTTGACTGACTGCTGTGCAAAGCATACTGATTGGATTAACGAATAAATTTCCTCTTTCGAAAGTGGTGGCACAGAATTCCCCACGTCGTATGGATACGATAGTAAAACACGATGTACGGATAGGGTTAATCGATTACCCAAACGCCCATGCGTCCATTGGCGCTTGCCGAGTGGCATTGATTAACGTGACTCAAACGCCTAGAGGCCGACATACTGTCACTTAGGCGGTTGAATCATGCAGATTTTGGTAGGTCTGAATGCCTATGTTCAGCAACTTACGTAAGAAAGATTTTTTGAAAAAAAGTTAGTTACAGACTATCGTCCTACATAATATTATATCACATATCTGATTTTCAGATTCATAGGTACAAGCATAAAGAAACAAAACAAGTTTTTCGCTTGTCCTGAAAAATTTGTCTCTTGGCACTTAGGCGGTTGAATCACGCGGTTAACGATATGTTTTTATGATCTTTGTTCCAGTGGTCTGTTGGGGAACAAACATTTTTCTCTCTATGATAGGCATTATGTTGTGATATTTATGTTAATAAATATTAATAAATGTTAAATCGACATCAGAATGACTTAGATTTGTTCATAAATTGTAGTCATCTGATGTCGGTTGCAGTTTACACATCCGATACTGGATGTTTAGTATTCGTTCTTGCCAAGTGCTAGTATCTAATTGTTCATGTTGTTTGGTTCAACTGATGCAATTTGATTGTTTATTATGGATCTTGTACAATGGATCTGCCTGTGGAGGAAGTGCTGGCAGATAGGCATTATGTTGTAATATTTTTGTTAATAAATATTAATAAATGTTAAATCGACATCAGAATGACTTAGATTTGTTTATAAATTTATTTATTTTTTACACTGTTTGTTCACCAGTAAGCCATCCTGGGACTACGAAGCTCATGCAAATGCTGTCAACAAAGAAAAGTTGCTGAGAACCAAAAATGAATATCAACTCATGACACTGTTTTTAACTATGAATAACATGCACTGGTTCTTTCTTTTAGATGAGAAAGGCAACCTCTATACACAAGTATCCGGCAAATCAGCGGTGCACAAGATTAGTACCTTGAGGCAAAATACATCTAACTGTACAAACACATGGAATTCAGAAAGTTCTTTCATTAAATCAAACAGTGCAACATTTGGACCAACCTCAAGGGACTAGAAAGGGAAATCTATGATAAAGAAACCCATTCCATTTCAAAAGACTAAAGAAACCCATTCCATTAAAAAAAACTAAAGAAACCCATTCCATTTCAAAAGTCAAAATATATATGAAATAATGGGGGGGGGGGAGAAAGGTAGCTCATAGCTACTGACTCCACCATGTACAATGTAAAGAGCAGCTACAATAAGGCACTAATCTTAGCATAGTCCTACTGCCTGTAACAAGAGAAACAAGTTACAACTATGAAAATGAACTTTCTAATAAGATGTAATGGGCAATGAGGTAGCCTACTGCATTATGGTGATGCTAAAAGAGAAGATTTTTGCCCCAAAACTTATCTATGTAACACCCCTTTTTTAAATTCTAAACCAAAGATTTCTCTGTACTGTCCTTAACGTCCTTAAAAGACAATATAAAAACCAAATACCAGTACCATTTCCTTCTGAGTTTTTTTTTTCTTGCTACTGTCTCCCCTATCTAAAGCCCTTAGCCTTTGTTGAATGTATTGTTTTCATCAGAGTATATACAAAACAGAGAATAGATCTAATCTATGGCATAAAAGAAAATAATGCCATGAATGATTTTTAAAAAATGATTTTCATCTTTGGAATGTCGATATTCAGCCAAATAGAGAAAAAAACACCCATTGTCAGCACTTGCAGTTGTACCATTCCTGCCTTATTGAAAAGGGTTTCAAAGTGCTCAGTTTTAATGACTGCAATGCCCCCACCCCCCCCCCCCCCCACCACTCTTCTCACTCCGCCAGAAGAACTTCAGCCTTAAGTTCAGAAACATGCTAATACTTCTGCCCTACAACTAGCTTTCCCTTGACCTGATCCTTACTCTGAGAAGACTTTTAAACACAACAAAAGATTATTGAAAGTAGATAAAAGCTGCCAAGTGAAAAGCACAATGAGTATTCACAACTTGGATAAGAAAGCAGTGTTAAAAATCCAAGCCAAACAACGTGGTGAAAAAAACATAGGGTGCAGCAATGAACAGAATACCATCTACAGAGTCAGTTACAAATGAAAGTTGAAAAATTCACTTGACAAAAAGGGAAAGGTGAAAAAACACACACGAAAACTTTCAAAAACAAGTTTGACAAAAGAGCAATGGTTTATACGATATCACATATCCTGATGGTATACTCACACTGGAGGAGCAGGGGGGCCCGCTCGTCCCCTGGGTTGAATAACAATGGCATACACCATGCAGATATCGCAACGAGTGGGATCGACACAACACACAAAAAGAAGCCTAAATTTCTTTGGCTCTAGCAAATCATACAAGGACACTATCGCGGGTTTCTGTGTTGCACATGATACATGTTTTCAGAATAGAATTTGCAGTTCGTGATAAAACATTAAATGTGGGTGTTCCCCAAGGACCTAGAGGGATTTTTAGATGACTTGGCATAATGTGTCTTCCTCCCCTCCCCCCCCCAACCCAATTCATTCATGCTGGACAGGTGCACTGGAAAAAAAATTAACAGCCTGTACACTAAAGTCTTATTAAAAAGGTGTTGAAGAACATGAAAATTTGGGAAAGATTAAAGCACTAAATTTCCTTTCCATCCGTGGTTGTTGTTTCGAGTGATTAAAATTGTTTCAATGTCACAACAAAGACCAACACTACTTTCTTTACTATTTCATAAAGGTCAAAGGCTTAGTTACAATTTTAATGTAATGTTTGTCTCAAAAAAGTAATTGATAAAGTGAAAGACTGAACATTCCAGAAAAAAACCAAAAGAAAATAAAAATTCACATCCACATAAAGACAAAGCTCTTGGATCAAAAAACATAAATAACACACACTGCATTGCTAATTGAAAAAAAAATTCTACACGATAAATTGTAATACAGAATATATTTTTTTAAAAGCAACCTCAAACTGCAATTACTATTCCCTTAACTTATTTCTAAGTAATTCTCTGACCATTTGCGTTTGTGCCTGGTGAAAGGTAACGTCTGAGGCAATTTGAAGAAGTGCATTTTATTGCCTTTTCTGGTACAAAAACCATTTCTGAACAACTTGCTCTACAAATTTAAGATTGCTTCAGTACTTTATGAGACCTGGTTAATTTTGTCAGGTAGGGTGCAGATACAAAGTTTTGAGAAAAATGGGCCGCATCATTCGTCCCCACATCCCTTGACACACAGTAACAACTCAAACTTTAAAAAAGCAATTTAAGACAACTGAAGAGTTTCAAAGTGTCATTAAAAACGTTTTGAAAGCAAATTCACTGTCAAGTAGAACTAGGACTTTCGCAAAATTACTTCGCTTTCCTCACGAAGTGTGGAAGGGTACATGTACGCTCACAGCCTCTGTCAATGCACACACGAAAACACATTAGACGACCTAAATACTGATAGGCGAAGTGAAGGGGTAATTTTTATGAACAAGTTATAAAAATCGTTGTAAATGAAAATAATAGAAATTTCCAAGAATGGCTTTGCTTTGCTCATGAAGTGGAATAGGGTATAACTGTGCAAAACCAGCTATCCTTTACTGCTTTGTTACACTCGTGCGCACTTCCCAGGTCGAGTAAGGTAACAGGCTGACCTAAATTTTGGTATGTAATGTGATGGCTTTGTATTTATAAACCTGCCGCCCATGTAGGATCTGACAGTAAATGTTCCTACGCAAATTGTCTTGCAATTATTTTAGATGAATTGTGACAAAAAACATCTTCAAAATACATTATTTTGAGTCAAGTAAAAACAAAGCCATGTAAATATCAGTAGAATGGCTAAAAATCATTGTTAAATGGAACTAAATTTTGGAGAAAAAAAGTCTTTTTGACCTTTACTGTCCTGTACCTCAGTTCAAACAAATGCGTCTTACGGAACCTTCCACCAGGTACGAATACATTTTGGTACAAGCTAGTAGCAGCAACAAAATAGGATAACTATTAATTAACCAAGACGTGTCATGAAGCCAAACTTTCCAAGCGGCATATCCATGATCAGTCACCAGAAAGGAACGCCAAATCTTCCATTGAAAAAATTATTTTTAAGTTCACACCAGTCACTTGTATGAACATAAAAATCTTTTAAAACTGATATTGTAAACTGTAGATTTTGTTTGTTCTTGTTCCAGGACCCATTTCTTCTTACTCCTGATTCATACAGTCCAAAATTCATGCTTAAAATTCAACACCACAAAGTCCTGGTTGCCAAACAAAAATTCAGAGAAACGAAAATACCAACCTTGATCTAGATCTTCGTCTTTTAACAGGCGTCCGGGATCGACGAGGAGACCTATGCCTTGATCTTGACCTCCTCCGTGACCTGGACCTTGACTTACGACGACGGCCTCCCCTTGATCGCGAGCGAGACCGCCGAGATCGAGAAGCAGAGCGGCTGCGAGCCTTTGACTTGGATCTCGACCTTTTTCTTGGTGGGGATTGTGCATCCTCTTTTTCTTATTTGAAAAAAAAAGGGGGGGGGGGGGGGGAGTTTAGATCAAATTCTCTGAACAACATTGCCTCTGAGCTATCCTGAAACAAAGAAAATGTCCCAGTAAGGGTCTCGGTTTTCAACAGCACATGTCCTTTAATCTTATCAAAAAGAATGTCTCATTTATAGAAGGAAAGAATGAGAATTCAGCCTTTTCGTGCCAGGGATTACGAGTCTAGCACAATGACTTAACCATGATCACCCATACGAAAACTGCCTGAGCTTTACCTTATTTCGTACGCCCAAATACAGACCACATGACACCAACTGACCCCCCCCCCCCCCCCCCCAATTCCCAGTTTTCCATTATTTGAATAAAATTAAAAACTCTTTGCGGCAAGCATAAACAATTTCTGCTCACTGCAAATAGCATTTTTCTAAGCGAAAAATTCTAAGCCCTGATATCCAAAAGGAAAAAAAACCCATGAGAGCAAACACTGATTGATGAGAATGCAAATTTACACTCAGCTGTTACTCAAAAACATATAACCTCAACAAGCAGCTCAATTGTTCTAGGCCCAAAAAGAAAAATCTTTCAGGTGAGAGAAAAAACACTGCTTCATTCTTTTAACAGTTGTACCTACTTTACTGGGAAGACTATGTAAAAGAGTGGAATGGCTGTTACTGAATTATCTTACAACAGGAGGAGAGATGATACTCTGATAGGCAGCAGCGGTGTCCCAACGGTCAGCCAGACTATGGGATGGGTGAAGGCAATATACAATATGTATTTTTCTTCCTTTTTTTTAACATTTAGAATTCGGATCTTGACAAAATATTTCTCAAGTACATACCAGATTTAATTTTTCTAATCTGCAATAAATATTTCTTTTTTTAAAATATATATTTTAGGGCTTACTGCAACTGAATAGGTGGCCCACACAATAAGATATAGGTAAAAGAAAATTTGAACCCCAATTCTCAAAATAAGTTAACCCTATCCGTATGCCCTGGGGTCATTTTGTACTCCCGGGTTGTATTCCTCACATTTTAGAATACCTCTAGTACGAAGAACTCTTTGAAACTTTCAGTATTTAAAAAAAAATCATTTTGACATACTGCAATGCAAAGTGTATGGATCGGATTAATAAGTAAATTTCCTCTTTGTAAAGTGGTGGCACAGAGTTCCCCACGTCGTATGGATACAATAGTAAAACACGATGCATGGATACGGTGAAAGGTGCCTTTCACACGTGATATAATGGCAATCCACCTGTGGCTGCACTGATTGTTTGCTTGTTTGAGTAAAGAGAAGCACATCGACACAATAATGGCCATTCAGTGCTAGGGAAAAGTAAGACAGACAGAAACAACAGAAGGAAAATAAAAAAGTAGGACCTACCAGTGGTGCCCTCTAACTACCCGCAGTGGCTGCACTGAGAGTGGAGACTTCGGATGTACATAGAAAGTCAATTAACTTCCAAATGGTGGGCTAAAGTTTGACTTTTACCATTATGTGATTATGTGGACTTCATAATATTTCAGCTGCACAAATTAGCCAATGGAGCTAAATCATCAAATCCGATTAAGGGGTTATGTACACGATACGAGGAATTTTCTAGGGGTCTAATTATAGACTAATTAGAAGAATCATGACGGAATTTGTCGAGTTTTATGAAAAAGTTGGTCTCTGTGGCGGCCATCTTGGATTTTTGGCCATGTTGTGGGGGAAATCGTTTCCTACAGAAAATATTAAAATTCAAACCTCAAACTTTGCACACATATTAACAAACAAATTATCTGTGATCATAGGCTTTGATTTTTTTTATCATTAAAAACAACAAAAATATTGACATATCACTGGATCAGCACTGAAAAAAACGAGTATGACGTGAAAAAAATCAGAATTATTTTAAAAAGTAATCACTATTTCACAAAATCCCCGCCTATGATCACAGAACTTTCTATACAGCCCCTGTGTGCCAAATTTCAAACATGTAGCTCTGATAGTTTAAGAAAAACGATTTCCCCCGCGTGGTCACCATAGTGAAAAAGTACTTTTTGAGAAAAACAAAAAAAAAAGATTTGAAAACGTCAAAGTTTAAAAATCCATTGCCTTGAACGCGTTAAATTAGATATTTTTTTTTATCGTTGGCACATTTTTCTGATGGAACTTATCAGGCTATTGATGGTTTATTTTCTTCTGAAGTTAACATTCCAAAACAAGTTCTCATGGCTACCTTCATTAATCTTTAGTCCCTACCCTTGACCAGTTACGTACAAATCAAAGGAATCATTTAGTGACATTCCGAGATAACTTCATCACACAGTGCGTGCGTGCGTACATGTGTATGTACATTAATTGGTTATGTCTGTGTATGTATGTATGTGCGTGTGTGTGTGTGTATGAGAGAGAGAGAGAGAGAGAGAGAGAGAGAGAGAGAGTCTCTCTCTCTCTCCCTCTTCCTCTCTCTCCCTCGCTCTCTTCCTCCGTCTCTCTCTCCCTCACTCTCTTCCTCCGCCTCTCTCCCCCTCCGTCTCTCTCTCTCTCTCTCTTTTTTTTTCTCCCCCCCTCTCTTTTTCCCCACGAATTGAGATCTTGAAAACAATGTGGGGGTCTTTGAAAAAAATTTCCAGGAATTGGTGGGGATCCTGCAGTTAGTGTTCCACAAGCGAATTGCCACTCCCAGTCTCAGATTTGGTGACCTGGATCAAGCTCTTGTCTGGAGTCCCCCCCCCCCCCCCCCAAACCCATCGGTGTATGTAATAAGTAGTCAACCAATGCCACCCCTCCTGTGCATTCAACTATGATTAATGGTTCAAGAACTTTTTTCTTGGCTGTCTGAACGATCAATTGGTCACAACTAATTTCATACCTCTCGCCACCCAGGAAGCGCCACTCCAACACTTTCACAGGCACTGATGAGATTTCACACCAACACCACCATTGCACCGTTCAGGGCTCACATGGATGGGTGACATCTACCCCCAAACCACACCCCTACTCCACTTCCTCGCCTAGCGACATGGCATAAAGGTTACATCTAAAGGAACCACACTTGATAGTTTTGTTTCAAATCAGGGCTTAATGGGCAAAGCATTTTCCGTCATAGGTAAAAACCCTCCGAAGGGAAGGAATTTCTATTTTTGTTTGAGAGTTAGACAGGATTCTGTTTTATACAGGTAATTAGAGGAATTTATCAAGGGGGGAGGGGAGATTCCGTTATGACATGTTTCTGTCTTACACAGGTTTCCATTACGGAAAGTTCAACTGTATTAGATTAAACGCCCAGGAGGGGGTTAATCATATGAACTAGACTTACTTGGTTCAGCAGCAGCAGCTGAAATCAACTTCTGGGCTTCTTTGACTTTTTTCATGGCCTCATCAATCTCACGCTGAGAGGCTTCGCTGGCTTTACCTTGAGGTTTAATGATACTTGCTTTAGAATGTTGCACACTGAAAGGCAAAAGTTTGTGTAAGTCAATTTTAAAACACTTCCAAACACAATATCAGAAGGTTAACTTAAAAAAAGAATGCAAAGACATAAAGTAAATGTACTTGGCAACTTAAGAAGAAAAAGCTAATATGACCCTCTATAAGCCTGACTGAATGCTTCTTTCCTAGGAAAGAAAAATGGACCATTGATAGGTTAAAAAAGGAATAAACAGGACTACAGTTACATTTAACCCTCATCCTGCGGGAGCCGGGTTTATATTCCGCGATAAGTGTATTTCGGCACCTCGCATCCCTCCCGGTCCCGTGTCAGTCCTACCCTGGCTCAGCACACACGCACCGAGCATCATCCACGTGATGACCGGGTCCCGTATTCCCGCAGCTAAAGTGTGTGTGCGTCAGTCTGCTTGAATTTTGTGCATTTGGGGCCTACTTCTAGAATCGCCTACATTGGTTTGTAACCGAGGCATACGTCTCATTCAAAACACAGTAAGTTGGTATCTCTAGGTCTTCGTCCAATGAAATTAGAACATATTGACCTACTTAGACATGACGTGACCTCAGTGCTTATTTGTCGTATCTCCATTTTTTCTAACAGTGAAAATGTAACTTCTTCTTAAGCTCACTCTTTGTTATGAACTGTTTTCACTGTTAATAAAAATTTAGAGATACGACAAGAAAGCACTGGGTCGCGATGAGGCGCTCGAAAGGATAGCCAAGAAACAAAACTTCCATTTTTCTACACAAAATCTTTCAAATGAGCTTGATTTTATATAAAATGATATTATCTGATAAAAATAAGCTTATTCGATAGTTTTGGATACCATTGTGCAGGTAAAAAGAACAATTTGAGAGCAAAACATTCGGAAATTGACCTTTATAATTACCTTTCGAACCCCAGATCATTCGTAACAACAAGAGAGTCTAAAATGGTTATTCGAATGGGCGTAACTACTCATAATGTCTCATCAGCTTATGAGGGGGTTGTTTTTGTGTTCGTAATACTTCATAAATAGAAAGCTATAAAAGATAGAGCGTTATTTTCATCATCGATTAACACACCCCCACATTATTCACAGCGAAAACAAACAGGTTTCCAGTGCTGCTCGCTGTATACTACCAGTACACTCTGAGTGACCTGGCCGGCTGATCCCAGCAGCCCGTCGGGAACAACCGATATAAGAAGTTACTGATAAGACTCGAATCTTGGCACAGACGCAGGACAAGAGTTAAAAAAGCAAATACTGCAGAGAGAATTGAACAATAAAATTCGTTGTGATCAAGACACTAAAATGGTTCAATCAACAATTTCAAAATCCCCTTTTGAACTTAACGATCTAAAGGATAAATAAGAGAAAAGAGAAGAGGAACCTTGCTAAAATCACTGAAAAAAATTATATGTCAACCCAAGAACATGGTAATAATGAAACAACAAATCAATGGAAAGATATAAGAATATAAATAAAATTTACGCAGGTCAGATGTAAAGAAAATTTTCAACCATGCAATCACTTCAAGTATATATAATTTTCACCAAAAACATACATACATAGATACTACCTACATACCTCATCGTTCGTCCTTTGAAAACAACATTGTTGTAAGTGAGAGCTTGAGCAACAGATCTTTGATCGGTAAACTCTATGTAAGCAGCACGAGCACCAGCATGCTCATCCCCAGCCAGTCGCACATATTTGATCTCTCCAACTTGCGAAAAAAAATTTAACAGCATTTCTCCAGTCACCTAAGAAAAAAAGTGAGGAACACACAAATAAGACGTAGTCCATTTTTCGCTAGCTTAGGGACGGAAGTAAAAATTATTGGCTACCTGCATGCCTTTAACATGACAAAGAACTTAGAGCTTATAATATGTATTGCATTTGATAGCTACTGCAGTCAAAACTATTTGCATGCCAATATAACAGAGAAAAAAAATTATGCTAACTCTAGAATATGGTATTAATGTAACAACAAATCAATGGAATGACAGTCTTGCAGTCACTAAATTTTTTTCAACATGTCTATTTCACGGCGTCACTTTTCGCCCGATTCTGTTACCTTTAGTTAGCGTGACTCTGCAGCCCGCAGAGCTCCCCGGCTCGGGGTCATGAGCCCTGAATCAACTTTGCCGGTGTCAGTTAGGAAGTTCACATTTTTGACTATGTTTAAAACGATATAGCTTCTTCCCCATCCCACACAGCAAACCATTACGCGGATGTACTAAAAGCTCAATGTCTTGAGATTTATTCTGCGATAGAATGGTTAATTTCTGTGCCTTAGTTTTTTTCTAGACAAGTGTTTGTAGAGTACCCAATTTGTCCTATTTTAGTTATTTTAGTTATGAATAAATGACTTAATTTTAAAAAGGCACGACAGATCTCTCAAAAATCAGTGTTAAACTGACTACGAATATCATGTCTTTTACCATGAGAAATCGTAAACATGTCAAGCACAACTAGTCTGTATGCTTCCCGGGAAGCTGAGAATGTTTCGGAGTGTACTATGGTCTGCTGGGGTAATAATATAGTGTAAAGCGCATAGAGCCTGCTGTTGAGCGGGGATATGCGCTATACAAATGCTATCTATTATTATTATTAGTCCAAGTGCCTAGCTGATCGCACAACTCGTCGCCTGAAACATACGTGTTTGCCTTTCAGGCGACGAGTCAGGCGCGATCGGCTTGTGCCACGATAGCCGCTTTGCGCCCTCAATCTGGCTAGCAAACCGACCCGACCCGATCTCCCAATGGGTGCCCAAACACTCGGACGAGCGACAGTCGTTCTTCTAGGCTAACGACAACAGCCAACCGACCAAATGTACCATTAATAAATCTCTTATCCCTCATATGTGTTCAAACCAAAGTGATGACAACAGCCAAGTGATAGTTTAGTCAGCACAGTTAGTTGTGTAAGGGTTATAACGACTGTCGCTCGTCCGAAAGTTTGCTGCGAATGCGCTCAGTTACTAGACCTCGGACGAGGCATGTTTTGAAAGTAGTAGCAGATCTACGAATACAATTGATTATTTGTATGTCGCAATTGTAACAGTTATCATGCTATTATCACAGAATCCTGAGTGTGGGAAAAGATCCAACACAACTTGAGGCGAGTCAAATACTAAATCCGGCACCAATATTTCGGATTATAATGCTCTGAGTTCCTACTGACAAAAAGTTCAATGGGTGCTTCCCGTGATAGAGAAGAAGGCAGAGTAAGTTCATAGAAAAATTCGGCGCAACAGCAGACTGGAACAAAATATCGTCTAAATCAGGAAAGTCAGGATGCTTGAGATTTGGGGGAAAAAATCTGGATATCCTGACTAAATCGGGATGAGTGGCAGGTCTGAGTTAACAAGGCCTCAGTACTGCCCTAAACTGACAAAACGCCTGTTTTTTTTAATTTGGGCGTCAATATTTTTTTATTTGCTAAATCAACATCCTGATTAGTTAACCAACTCGTATGAAAAATCAAAGTGAAACTGTGACCATGTTTTTAAATCAATTAGAATTCAAATTTCGGAACAACACCTTTTTAAAATGGTTATACAGTAGTCTCCGCCTAAGAACCCGGTGCTCGGGAGCAAGGAAATGCGGGATCTTAGGCAAACCGGGATCTTAACCGACGAACCCAGGGAAGAATCTATGGAGACCCATGTTAAGGCTCACAATCGGAAAAAACGGTCTACCTCCACCCTACAATGAACTGACGTGACCCCTTGGTGGGTTTATGACTTATGGCGGGCAAACAGTGGTTAACCTTGATGACCTATCACAGTGCATAGTGGCATGAGGCGTGCCATTTTCACTTATTATCCTATCATGAGTCTAAAGATCTACGCTTATCTAGTTGCCCCTCCTCTTTACCTGTCAAAAATGTATAGCTTTCCATCTCTGACCGAGTTCCCCCCCCCCCTCCAAACCGCCTTTGTCGTTACACACCATTACGTTGTGAACGCACCAATTAAAATTCAGTCTGTCTCGCAAATTCGGGAGTAGAGACAACTGCTGCAATGGTCAAGGATGCGTTCACGGTTCGATGTGATCCCGCCTGGAGAGAACGTGTAGGCCCTACCTACCCAGCGAGTGATGTAAGTTTAGGGGGCGAGCTCAGGTGTGAGTGTGATATGTGAGGAAAACAAACGTGTCGGTCTGTTCACACCCCGGTGTGATCCCGTCTGGGGCAAACATTGTATCGCTTCATCGAGTTTTACAACGTGTATGTGATCACATTCACATTAGTGGCTGATCTTTGATGCGACGGACAGTTTATTGATCTCAACTTTTCACTCTTGGTTGATCGGCTGTCCCGCCCGGGTTTTTGTTTAGCAAATTATGATCTGAAATGCGGGATCTTAGCTGAATGTAGACCATCAGAGCGGGATCTTAGGGGTGACTTTTGTATAGTAAAAATTCTGTTTTCCTAAAACAACGGGATCTTAAGCGAACTGGGATCGTAAGCGGTGGGATCTAAGGCGGAGACTACTGTACAATCAAAAGGCCTTTTTATCTCAAGACTGCTGTGAATAAGAAAAAGGTGTTTTGTCAGCGTACCCTAACAAACAGCTTAACTGTTTATCTTCTCTCTTATCATGTATTTTACTAAGTCTAATTCAGGATAGAGATCCCTTGAAATTCCTATTTTTCTGTCAATTTACAAAATTTCAGTACTTTACTGATTAGAGAAAACCAGCCATTTCTGTACACAAAAAAAAGGAAGAAAAAAAGCAGAGACAAAATTTAGAAACCTTTCATTCATGTCATAAATTTCCTTTGAAAACATGACAATAGTCAATCATTTGGTCAATTTCTGCAAGCAACAGGCTTTTTACTCAGAACAATACAGTCAAACCTGTGTAAGACGGCCACCCATTGTCAAGGAGAAAAGTGGCCGTATAAAACAGGTGGCCATCTTATGCAGGACTGATCAAGATAAAGAAAACAAACCATTCCCATTTGAGGCCCCAAGCGAAAGTAGCCCCACTATGATGTCTTTGTTGGTGTTGTTGTTGGTTTATATTTCGTTTGTAATTTTATTTTGTCACTGATTTTGTACAAGGGTGACAATACAACGAAATGTATCAGACAAGGAAGACCGAGTGCCATGTTAAAACATGGCACATGGATCGCCACCACTTGGAGAACGAGCGACACTTCTGTAACAAGTTCATGTTGACGCCCTTTGTTACTTCGTTACTGACTGGGTAAACAGTGACCACTCATCTCACTTACGATTTGTGTATGAATTCTGGGCGGAGCTTATGGGTTATGAGGGATTACACACTTACTTCACCAGCAGCTGATAATTGGTAGCTATTGTCAACAGTGGGAGGGGCCTACGTAACATGATCGGTTGAAGGAACCACCTAACAACAACGACAGGTGATTGAATTATGACGGCTAGGGGCCAAAGCACAAATTTATGACAAAACATAATGGAGTCACTAAGGTGACCGTTTTAGACAGGTATTATTGCTTAGTATGATAGGGGTTGTGTGTTAAATTATGGTGGCCGCGGCCGCGTTGGACAGGTGCCCGTTTTACACAGTTAAATTATATAGAAAAAACGCAAGGGGGGAAATGGAAAGTGACCGTTTGTACAGGTGGCCGTCTTATAGAGGTGGCCGTCAGGGCAGGTTCGACTGTATTTTTGTACCGATTTTTTTTTGCCAACCACTTTTTAATTCTCATCCTATTTGCATAAAACTTTCAGGAAACTTTCACTTCAGAAAAGTAAAGTTGCAGAGAGAAGAAAATTAGACATTTTAAAAAATAATTTAATTTACAATAGATTATGTAATCTACAGTACATCAAATCTCACAAGCCTCCTACCTAAAATTTTGTAATAAGAAAAGGTACACTCTCACCAAATTAGAGAACATTTGGTCAAGAAATTAAAAAACCTTGTGGAATTATTTATGTTTATTTTAAAGGTAGCTTCTGTTTCCATAGCAACTGTAGCAAGAAAACATAACTTCAAAAGGCTTATATAAAGATCCCACCATTTCTAAATAACTTGGGAGGCATCATGGTGAAATCAGGCAATCATCTAAATTATGAAATCAAAGACACTGGCATTTTTCCACTGGTTTGGCAACTTACCCATTTTTGTTTTTTAGGCTCCACACCTTTTCTCCCCATTTAATAATACATTTCACTGTGGATTTCACTGAAAAGCTTTAAATAAAAGCACAAAATATGTAAAATTTCCAGTTATCAAGGACTCTCAAACTATGGAAGACACCAAACTCTGGCGGCCATTTTCTCACTAATTTTATCTCCTTCAATCGGTAATAAGTTAATTTCTCGACATCTATTTTTAAGATAGATGGGTACTTTTTTCATTGAACACAAGAAAATGAACAAGCTTTAAGATGATATTAATTACTCTACATGCCCAAAAATTGAAGAGAGCCTGATTCAACCTGGTTGTGACACATTTTTGTAATTAGATTCTATCTCAAGTTTTTGTTTTTAAAAATGGATCTCAAAGGTCACCCCTATCCTTAAAGACAGTCTGAAACACACAAGTACTCTCTACAACAAGAAACTGAAATCGTACTCAGATATAAAAAAGCCAATACCTTTGGTTCCAGATCAGAGACATAAACTGTGCGCCTTATCTCCTCAATCACATTTGCATCTGTAGAGGCTGGCAAAGGAGGATACTGCGGAAGTCCAAGCGAAGTCAGCCTAGGATCATTTGTTGTGATCACTTGATTTGAGCCAGTTCCAGTAACCTGTGTAACAGGAATAATATCAGTCCCCACAAAGTGAATACTACGTAATGGTCAAAATGTAACTGACTGAACAGACTGATCTTTGGTCAATTAAGTTCTTAACCCTTTGAACCCTGACCTCCCGAGACTACCATCCCCTTCTGCCTGAGCGATTCTCATTTTCATATCATTTTCAGAATCACATTCCATATCCTACTCAGGGTAGTCCTCATCACTACAAGTGTCATTCAGAAAAATCTTCAAAATAACAATGTCCTGTGTAGAAAACATATGTAGAAAACACTGTTTTCTGGGCACGTTTTGTCACTGGCGGGCCGATTTGGGGATACGGTCTCGCCCACCAGTGTACCAGTGGCTAGGCATAAAGGCAATTTTAAGCGCCAACGGTGTACACGAGGCAAGGGCTCAAAAGGTTAATAAAGACTCTATTGTTATGGCTAAACTATTATACATCAAGCTTTCATCAAATGACTTCACTAATGAACTGCAAATCACACCAAATTTATCAACAATCTGTCACTCTGAGGTTAAAGTAAAGGTGAACAACACAAAGCTGATTAGATTGAGAAAATGCTTACTTGACTGACAACATTTGCTGGCCAGGTAGGTTGACCTGGCAGCATTCCCGCCACGGCTTGTGGTGTCAGCTGCAAAGCAGTACTTTCATCTGGTATCTTCCCTGAATCACAAACAAAAATAAAGAAGCATCAATATCGATGAATATGGTACATTAAATTATATTAACAGACCTGCCAACATCCTATAGACAGAAATAGGGAAAATCCCAACCTTTTCAAGGCAGAAATAGGGAAAATGCCCACGAAATTCTTTTACCCATAACCAAATACTCTTATCTCTCTATACACTTTAAAGTACTGTTTAAGTAGACACCGTGGATCACACTTCATTCATGCTTTTAAGCACCAATAAAATCAGTATCAGCAAATTTAAGAGAGAAAATAGATTTTTCATTTAAATGGCTCCAAATAAAAGGGAACATTTATTCAGACCAAGGGAAAGGCAGTCTGAATTAAGGAATTTCCCTACAAAATAGGAAAGGTTGGCAAGTCTGTATTAACTTCCTCTGCACAGTACACTCATGACATCTCAGTTCTGCACATTTAAAGAAAAAAGATTATTTACAAAGTCCTTCTATCCAATTTTTCTGCACATAAATCATATCTGGAACAAGGAATTAACCTAGAACTAGATAAACAACACTTTGGTACAAGCATTCCTGTCTCATCTATCTGTAATGGAACACTAAATTTATGTTATCAGTTTTGGTCATTTACTTGTACATTACGGTTCTCATTTCCTTGCTATTTTTAAGATGTTTCATTAATTTCTTACCCTATTCAATTAATAAATTTGTGTTCTTTCACACTGAAATAATAATAATAATAATAATAATAATAATAAATTGCATTTATATAGCGCATTTCCACAAAGAAGTGCTCAATACGCTGTACAATAATACAAAAAACATATGAAGCGCACATCTCTCTCTCTCTCTCTCCAGTACATCCTTGAGTAAAGACAATCCCACAAAGCTTACCCAGACACCCTCGCACACATTGATGAATTCAGTCATAAATTCTTACATAACAGAACAGCATGAATAAATGATACTGAGAGAACATAATAGATACTGAGAGAACATAATAATATTTGTATTGGGAATGTCGGAAATTACAGATTGAAGCAGGACTGAAACAAATGAGTTTTAAGTGCTGATTTAAATTTTGACAAAGCAGTGGACTCCCATAGATGAGCTGGTAAAGCGTTCCACAAGGAGGAGGCGTGGTGTGAAAAAGCTCTCCCTCCGAATCTCTGACTTTTGCTTTGGACAGGTCTTAAAAGTCTTTTCGTCGCCGATCTTAAAGGCCAAGATGGCATATATTCGATGACCATGTCACAAAGATATGATAGTGCAATGTTGTTGACGCACTTAAAACAAAGAACAATTATTTTGTGCTGAATTCGTGCTTTCACCGGGAGCCAGTGTAGTTGAATTAGCATTGGTGTTATATGCTCTTTGAGAGATTTCTTTAATATTATGCGAGCAGCATAAAGACAACCCAAGTGTATTAAATAGTACTTATAACAAAAAGCATGTTTTATGAGAGTGAGTTATATAGCTTATAATTTGAGTAAAAATACTAGATATGACTCTGGACTTAAGACAGCCTATTAAATTATATAACCTTTTTAAAGGTGACACAGAGTTCAGCCAAACACAACCCTCAGCCCCATTCAGGAGCATAGGCCAACATCTCAGCTTTTATGCAATATAACTACCTGTAGGAAGCTTTAATTGTGTGTTCATTCTTTAAAGGACAAGTCAAAGATCTCTATTGACTGCTGATCTTCTACTCTGAACTTGGGAAATCAATTCCGAAATCATAAATTTAGAAAACTGGACTGAGTGTAAAGTTTCCCAAGAAAGCCAACCCATCAAGCTATAATAGCTGGAGAGAACAGTAACTGAACTGGTGCACTGGACCCTTAGCTTATAACTGGAGAGCCTTGAAGTTCATGACAACATACTATTCATGTGTGTCACGACGCGGTGAAATCAGGCGCTCGTCAATTTTTGGGCATGTTGAGTTATTGGTATCATCAGAAAGCTTATTCACTTGTTTTGCTTTCAAAGAAAAAAATACACCCATCTATCTTTAAAAGAAGCCAAGAATCTTCGATCGAAGGAGGTGAGGTCGCCTGGTTTCAGTGGTGAAATTAGAGAGAAAACGGTCGGTCGCAAGATTTGGTTACTCCAATAGCTTAGGTTATGTTGTGCCTTCAATTAACTTTTTTCAATAAAATTGACATGGCAAAAATTGTTTGGGATTGACACTAAAGGGGTTTAGCCAAAAAATGAAAATTGATAAAAATTGCCTAACTGCTAACTGGCAGAAAAATGCCTGTTTCTCCGATTTTGTTATTTTGACGAGCGCCTGATTTCCCTACATTGTCTCACATACTGTTGCATTGACATCAGGACACACAAACAAACTAATATAAGATGACACAAACAGTCCAACTGTTTTGAGGTGAGCACAGGCAAGACTACACTGTAAAATGAACAATACAACAATGCAGTTGGTCCATTAAGAAGACAGAAGTTCAAGAATTTACAGATATGACAAATACCAATAACAGAAATTCAGAGGCTGAAAATTGAGCTAGGACCTCAAACACCAACATTTATATTTGCAGTGCCTAGAAGCATGCAGAAATCCCTAATAAATATTATTTGGAGGCCTTACGCACATCACAATGAAAAGACAACTTAGAAGGCTCAAAACAATACCAGTCCACTGTTGGGACTTTCACTTTCTCTGTATGTCAGGAAAGACTGTCCCTTCATTGCTTTCTGTTTCAAAGCTTTGATAAAAGTAACACAAAATCCTGTTTGTTTGAAAACTTTGATAAAAGTAACACAAAATCCTGTTTGTTTGAAAGCTTTGATAAAAGTAACACAAAATCATGCTGACTTAGAAGTACACGAAAAATCATCCTTTAATTTTCACCACAAAAATGAATTTTCAATACGCAAACACAAATGGTTTTCAAAGTCTCATCAATCTTTGTATACAACTCAAAGTCTTTTGAAACTTACCATCCATTACAGGAACAATCATGAGGGCACGGTCAACAAAAACTGTGCTGCTCAGGTGTAAAGCTACCCCTGTGGTAGTGGCATCCTCGAACTCAATGTATGCCACTCTAGCTGTGACAATAGAAGCATCGATGGACCTGTGAATGAATAATAGAAAAATTATATGTACAAAAGGAAAGAAAAAGAGTGAACATGAAACTCAGTATAAGAACCGCTTTGGAAAACCCTGGACTTTGACTGTACCGGTACTATACATTACTCTCCACCCAAGATTCCGACGCAATTCCATTCGCAAAAGATCCCGCTGTTTAAAAAAAAGGAAATTTACAGCAAAAAAGTCACCCCCTAAGATCTCGCTCTAAAATACTACATTCGGCTAAGATCCCGCACTTCAGATCATTTATGGAGCAAAAACCACGCCAGTGCAGCTGACTAATCAAGCAGCGAAAATTTGCGATCATTGTACTGCTCCTTGCATCGGAGATCATCCACTCTCGTGAATAAGATCACATCTGTTCTAAGTCCCAATGACTGGATACAATGTTTGCCCCGGATGGGGTCATGCCAAGGTGTGAACTCATCGAAGCCATTATTTTCAAAAACCTCACACATTTGAGCCCTCCACCTAAACTTAACATCACATGTGAGGTGGGATACGTGACAATGACATGCCTCTAAAGCCATTGTGATTGGTCATGAAGGATACCACTATTTGCCCACCTTAAGTCATAAACCCGCCACGGGGTCATGTCAATACATGTCGAAGTAAGGGGGGATCATTTTACCTTTACAGTGGAATCCACTTATAACGAGTCCTGAAATAACAAGAAGTCTGTTATAAAGACACTATTCTAAAACCCCGTTTTTTTTCTCCTTTATCTTTGTAGATAAAATACTGTTATAACGCAATCAGACAAACACGCGAGTCAGTTATAGCAGACTATAGCTGCTGTTGTGCACAGCGCATAGGCCATTTATTCATTATATATATATGTAAAACCTCGCCAGTTGAGAAAATTGGTTATCTTGCGAAACAAAGAATGGGAAAGCCCACGTGTGCCAACAATGAAGGCCGGATCCAATGAGTTGGGAGAGTGTGGCATGCACAGACATTAGCAGACGCATCGTGTGATAGGCCAGCCTAGTCTAGATTATCTGGGCTTACCATGCCTCTCACTTCTCCGAAGCAGGATGGATAGGTTATTGTGCTGTACTGTGATGGACGGAGCGAACGTGTCACGTGGGCGGGGTGTGGTGGGGTTGGAGACAACACAGCGGGCGAGTTAGCCTAGAGAACTTTCTTTCTGATCGCCAATGCCGAGCTGTCAACATCGCTAACGCTAGAGAAAGACACCTGATTCGATTTTTGATCAAGTAAGACTTAAAGGCATTAAAGGTCATGTTGAACCAAATCATTATCAGGGGAGACTACAAAAAGAAATAAACCGAAAAGCAGACTCAATGATTAGGCCTACTTTACTATTTCCCTTGAATTTATTACTAGATCCCTTATAACGAGAATCTTGCTATAACGGACATTTGGAACCGGTCCCCTCCCTCTCGTTATAACAGGATTCCAGTGTATATCAATTGGGGGCCTGCACTGCAGCTTCTACTTCTCCCCCTGACAATTCGGCTTCAATCCTGTTCCCTTTTTAAGATCCCGCATTTTCCTTGTTCCTAAGTACCAGGATCTTAGGCAAAGACACTATCCTACCTACCCACAACTACAACTGGTGCTACTATCAAGAGCAATTTTTCAAAGATTGAAGCATTCCATGGCACAAACATCAAATTATGGGAAGATACAATTTGGGGCATGCATGGCAAAAATTAAAATTCTCATTAATGTGACATGTCATGATATACCACAGTCACTACCATACCGCAACATGATAATAACAATACTGTTATAATATAACACTGACTATAACTTATGAGGATATACTTTCACTCCTGTCTCATGCTCGGGTATTAGTCATGACCGCTTTGCCTAAAAAATCAATTGTTTAGTTTAGTGGTCAATCTATAACTTGGCTCTAATTACACAAATGTGAATGTGTTATTTTGACAATCCTTGTCAAAAAAAAAAAGAAGATATATTTGATAGTATTTTTGGCACTAAGTTATTATTCATTCATAACTATTATGACAGAAAAAAGTAATTTTATCAAAAATTAATGAAGATTTTCATATATCAAGCCAATACTTTTTAGACTATTTTAGAAAGCTGTTTGCTGTCTCAAATATAACCTCAGCCTAGCTGAAGAAAGGAACTTTAAAATTCATAAATTTGTGACATCATGTTTATGAACGAACTTTTCAGTCTGTCATTTAAGCCAGATTACATCAAGACAATTGCATAGCTTTGGCAATTACTGAGCCTGTCAGAGTAAACATTAGGCTATTTATAATATACATGGATGAGGATGTTTCAAAAGTTACTTCTTCATAAAGTTGATTTTAGACCTCATTTATTCATTTGTGACACCCGCGAATCTCACTTTTTGGCAAAGGCCAATCAATTTGGTTTGAAATTTTCTTGAAAATTAATGACTTGCGACAGTTTTAATGACTATATATGAAGTGTGATCTGCAGCAAAAATTACCGCAGTTTGACCCCAAAGCAGTGCATTAGTGTGCGGAAGTGAAAGTAAAAACAGTAAATTTTTACTTTTAAACACATGAAGCTAGAGAGCACCTAACACACCCCTGTGATTGGCCCAAATATAGAGATGACGTATTTCCATCATCTATTTTTGTCGTCTTTCGGGGTCTCCCTCTCAAATTGACTAGATCTATCACTATCACCTTTTATAATTATTCTTTCATCGTCATAATAATAATGATCTTTATTTCCATTTTGTGTAAGAAATATACAATTGGAATACATTTTGGTATTGCTCAGCCATTCCACACACTCTCAATACATTAGAATATTATATTCTCAAGCACACACATCAAACATACATCCACATACACACACAAACACACACACATGAACAAAGGAACGGGAAGATTCACACATGCATGCACACACGGGCATGTAAGCAGATACACAAGCATAAACACACACACACACACACACACACACACACAGCAAAGATATGTGTATATTTAATTTGTACGTAAATGTACCCTTTCCAGTTTATATTCATACTTATAATTACACTTGTCACCTTCTATTTTTTTTTGATAGAGGGTTTTACGGCGCTCGCAACTGCATAAGGCCATATGAGCGCCAAGGGGTGGGTGTCAACAGAGAAGTCCTTACAGGGAATCAGATTTACTCTGCTCACCTCTCTAGCTTTAACAGCACAAGGTCTGCTTCGACTATCAAGGCACCCTGGAAATAGCGGGTAACAAGAGAGTGACAAACATACAATAGAAGAAGAGGAAAACCACAATAGTAAAGATGAGGAAAGAAAAAGCAGCAGGGAAACTGCTGCAGATCCTGATCAGGCACAGTTACAAGCGTGAAATGATGAATCAGCCCATTTACAATTCTACTGTGCTTGAACGAGAAATGTCCCCCCTTTGGGAATGGCCTAAAGACACTATTCGTTTTGATCCAAGTTATTTGAAAAAATAATGACGTCTTCAATCAAACTATCCTACTATATTCCATAGTTTTCTAGTATATTCACCAGGGACACCCCGAAAGACAAAAATAGATGGTGGAAATAGTCATCTCTAAATGTCGACCAATCACAGATGTGCTAGGCACATGCGGATAACTTTAGAACCACAGATATACGCCATTGGCCGATATTTATAGTAACAGCCATATTGTTTGACGTCATTGAGGGATTCCCACTTTGTTGTCGTTCACGGTGGCAACAGGACCGCAAAGCACTATAGCAGTAATATAGTGTAAAGCGCATAGAGCCTGCTGTTGAGCGGGGATTTGCGCTATACAAATGCTATCTATTATTATCTATTATTTTAGCAGTATTTTTAAAGCCTGTAGCCTACAGTGGCGTGGTGGCGGAGTGGTTAGTGCGCTTGCCTCCAAAGCAGAAAGTCCAGGTTCGAGCCTCGGTTCGGCCACGGATTTTTTTTGTCAGTCAGCTACTCCCGTGCTTAACAACCATATTGATAGCGATGCCCGCCGCCGTGCCTGCGTAACTCTGTTTTGGTAATTTTTGTATCTCTTTCCCTCGTTCTTTCTCCCAATCTGACAAACCTAGAAGCCTCTTACTTTAGCATCTCATTCTAAAGATCATCTTAAGACTAACAAGACGATCCTTTTTTCGATCTGGAAATCTCAGTTTCTATAGCATTTACGCATTTTCTGGTACAAGTGTTTTGTTAACCTAATGTTGCATTTTAAATTACATTCCATTTTGGAGTTTATTATCTCAAAAGCCAAACTCAGATTTTCACTCAGATTTCTGTGCTTCACTTGAGACAGCAATACTTTTAACTGTGTGAGCAAGTGTTATTTGTGGGAAGTGAATGTGTGATTTTATAATGATTTTTTAAAAATAGGTACCCCCTCCCCTGTGCCTCACTCGGACATGATCTTTCATTTCTCTTCATAAATATCGCATTATTTTTCCAACATTTCTCTATATATCTATTTTTGGGGAATATTTTAGCCCAGTTAAGAAATGGAGAAACATACAGAGGATTCGCATTTTCAAAAGCTGCACAAACTTTGCAGATGAGAACTTGTGGTGGCAGAACAGTGTCAGTCAAGCAAAAGGCACAGAAAAGGCGACCCCTGCAGTGTTCTAAATTAGCGTCGGACACTCTCTTTGCCTTTGATGTTAGCTTAACAATGGACTCACAGACAGTACATTCAAAAACAATCTGCAAGCTTGCGTGGACAATATAAGACATATATATGGAGTTGTGGGGAGAAACTAAATGGGGAGATTAGACATCTAGAAGCTGTTTATCTTTCAGACCATTCAAGTTCAAAAAGGGGTCTAAATCTAAAAATAAATACATACCGTCAGTTGGCACGCATTTGGCCTAAAATTGGACAACCAGACAATTATGCGATAACCTGGAATGCTGTCTGCTAAACAATTCCGTTCAGCATTGTTTTGTTTTCAAGTTCAACAATTTTGAGCAGAATCAGACACCTGTGTGAGCAGAAATAATCCATTTCATCTCCAAAGGTAAGAACCGCATTCAGCCATTACGGCTTGCAGATGTGCAATGCGTCTTTGGAAATAACCTATTGGTTCTATAATCGTACCCGCAGGATTCGTTTCGCATTTTCATTCAGTTTATAAGGTGTCTAGTTACTGCCACAAACCATTCGCTGCTCTTTGTTGTAAAAATTGGCGCCCGTAGGGGGGTGACGGTATGGGGTACAATTTTTTTATGGATGTACCCCATACCGTCACTATATTTTTTACATGGTGCGTGACTTGGAAAAATAGTTATTTCTTGACGGACTATGGATGGCATCTTAGAATTTTAGATTTTTTAGTTTCTATGATTTGATATAGATAGAATCTACAGATCTATTTAGACACGGATTCATTGGAAAATGAGCGACTTTAGATTTTTCTTTTTTAATGTTTGAAACAAATTTATATGAAGGAAACTCTATCCCGTTGTATGTAATGATGATGATGATGATGTTCCTCTGTCCAATGTATACACATGTTGTGATGATGTTCTTCCAGTCACTGTTTCCACATGTTGTGATATTGTTCCAGCTCCTACTGCTTCTGTTTCAGAAGAAGAACTTGCTGGCCCTCCCCCAACTGCCCTTGTCTCTAGTTGTGAGTGGTCAGTTGATGCCCTAGACTTTTCTACCACAGGTCTGGAATTATCGGGGATTGAATGTACCTCCGAGGACTTCCTGGATCCTGCAGCAGAGTTTCAGCTACCTTTGGTTTCAACACCAGCTCGGGGTCCTGTGGATAACCAGGACCATGACTATTGTCTGCCTGAGCAGGCATTGAGACCATTGGAAGATGAAACTCTGGTGACACCCCAAGCCCCCCAAAAACTGCCTCAGGACAACACTTTTGCTTTGTCCTTGACAAGCTAATTGATCACGCCATTGCCACTGGATGGATGGCATCAGACATGCATTGGTCCGCCGTTGCCATTGGCACAAAATCGAACCTATGGAGAACGAGGGGGCATACAGAAAGTACCTTGATTTGTAAAATCAACTCATTCCTGCCCCCTTGTTCGTCGACCTGCCCATACCAACAAGCTGGAACTCTAAGGTTTCAACACAGAGAAGCAGGCTCAGGCCCCTAAGTAGGTCTTATGGGCAAAGTACGAAGAAATTGGAAGAAGAGAAGAAAAAGGAAGAAGAGGAAGAGAAAAAGGGAGAGACAGGGCTTGAATTAGGTGTTCAAGAGGGCAGGCAAAAATTGCCTAGGTGTGGCCTAAAAATCAGAGGGCATCGAGGCAATTTGCTAGGGCACCAAGGCAAAATTCACAGGGGATCATTTTATTGATTAAAGTTGGTAATACCGGGTCATGCATCACAGCGTTTATAACAATACAATTTATTCTTACTCTCTATAAAAGTATAAAGTTATTGGAACATTATAGAATTTGTAAAATTATGAATGAAAAGTAAGTAGAATCTAAATCACAGTAAAATCACATCAAAACAAAAGCACTAAAAGTCACAGTTTTAAATCAGACGATCACAATTGCATCTCACATAAATGCCTTTATGACTACCCCTCATTGATTGGATTAAAACGCATAATGTGTATGACTGTTGGAAATAGGGCACAATAGAAAACAGTGAATGATTTGACCAATTAGAGGTAAGACATTGATCATTAATGAGATTCAAACAGAGTGGTTTTCAGGCGGTGTAGTGATAAAATGAAAACAAATTTTGAACTTGCATGTAAGAAAATGAGGAGTGAAAACAACTTATGAACTTGTATGGGAAAAAAAGAATGAATAACTAAAAACCTTTGTTAAACAGTTATTAAATGAGGTTATGACTCTATGTTGAAAACAAGTTTTGAAAATATGACTTAAAGTATGTTGTATAAAAAAGACCTAAACAATCAGCATGTCATATGACTTAATGACTGGATCAGAATATTGAAAATATGTTTGGCACACACAATATAGAAAAAGACTGGCTTACTTACTGAGGTTTGGTTATCATTGGTGTGAGTGTGTTTGCACTAGCCTTGACAAAATTGACACAATTGTCAAGCTGAGCAGTGTCTGACTGAAGTTTTGATGAGATTTCTGACAACTCCGACAGGATGTCTTCATACCCCCCCCCCCCCCCCCTTTTCCTCACGTGTATCTTTGAAATAAAAAAATAAATAATTTCCCCCTATTCCGGAGTCCCATACTTCGCGGCGACCAGACTTTAAATGAACTTTGGTAACCCCAACAACCGGTGCTCACACGATGCCGTATCTTGTGATGTAGGTTCAATGACCGGTCACGATGGCGAACCCGACAAAACGCTTGTACATTGTATAACTTTCTTTTCTTTTTTTTTCCACAACTGACAGCACAGGACAAATTATATTGATTTATTTTCATGGCGTCACATTTTTAAAAATTAAAAACAAGGGCACGGCAAAAATTGCCGCGGTTGACCCTGTGATTTTAAGGGCATTGCGGTTGCGATGATTGCGGCAAATTGCAAAGGTACCAAGGCAAATTGCCGCGGTGCCACGGTCTATTACAAGCCCTGAAGAGAAAAGAGGAGAAAAGTTAACGAAGTTGGAGTAGCAGAGAGCAGCTTAGGGAAGAAAAAGAAGAAACAATAGGGAAATGAAGTGGGTGTAAGGGAAGGATGATGAAGCTAAAGAGAAGAAAAGGAGAGAGTGAGGAGGGGGAAGAGGATGAAAAGGAGGTGGGATTGGTTTACAACGATGACCGCTCCGCAGTTTGTTGTGATACATGTAGAAGAGTAAAATGAAGCATTCATGTACTTGTGTGTGAGTAAAAGATGTTCAAAAGTGAGTTTGTTGTGATATGTGAGGAAGAGTAAAATGAAACATTCATGTACCTATGTGTGAGTAAGATGTATTTGAGTCTGTTCTGGTGGTTGTTCTTATAAATATGTCAATAAACATTAGACATAAACATTAATGATTAGTTCTGTCTTAGGCCCACTGTACAAAAGGAGTTCGTCTTTGCTTCTTTCCTCTTTTCAAACGCCTAGATATCTAGTTGTGCTTCAATTTGGGTGTGCTGGTATGGGGTGTAGTGGGTGACGGTATGGGGTACATGCCATGACAGAAACCCCGACACGTGACGGTATCATACCGGGTATGGGGTACATCTCATGACATGCGTCAAGTCTCGGTTAGGGGTCTTCTTTATACACTATCTGACCCCACGCCTACAGGAAAGGCTGGCCTCTCAACAAAACGAAGTTTTGGGTCGACGTTTTTGAAAGAGCCGAAGTTATGGTAATTCAAAAGTTCACTTCCGGAAATAGTCATCACAAAACACTAAGGTGACGGTATGCCGTACAGGGGCTCTATCTAGATCTAAAATCTAGGTTACGGAATTCAATGTGATCTTGTAGTTCCGTTCGTTAAAGACCACAATCCATTTGTTTACTTCCAAGGAAGAAATCCAGAAGTCTTGAAATGAAGAATAAAAATACTATTTGAATTAGGCTACACAAAGAGCAGGGATGCAGCCTAACTGCAAAACATCAAATTAGGATAAAATTCAGGGGGGCATGCCCCCCTGAACCCCCCCCACCTCCATATTTTTATTAGGTCAGGGGTCAAGCCCCCCTGAAACCCCCCTACTCTTGACTTTAACGAACGAAACTACAAAATCGCCCAGAATTCCACCCTCTCTAGATCTAGATCTAGATCTAGAATCTAAGCCTGAGCCAATTGTAAGATAAAGTAGAGATCGACAGTAAAATATTAAAAATTAGATTTAGACAGCTAGAATCTAGATTTCTAGATCTAGTCTAGATCTAGAATCTAGAGTCTAGGGGCTATAATTATTATTAATTTATAAGATACAAAAACAATATCTCTGTACTGTAGACTAGATCTAGATCTAGAATCTAGATTAATCATCATGTAATATCCCAGGCCTGGGCCGGGCCAAAACCAACCGAACAGGTCGAGAGGGATGTTGCCCAGTAACAGATAAAGACCAAAATTAAGCGGAAGGCTAGATCTAGAATCTAGATCTAGTGGCGCTTTTTCGGTAGTTCCCACCCCGCATTTGTTATTCGCCGGTTTTGGCCCCAAGAGTAGGGGGGGTTTCAGGGGGGGGCCTGACCTAATAAAAACAAGGTGGGGGGTTTCAGGGGGGCATGCCCCCCTGAATTTTACCACAATTTAATGTTTTGCAGTTGTTAGGTTTGACATCTTAGCTTAGCTTGCCGCGAATCAAAGTATATAGATCTAGATGTAGGTCAGGCTCTATCAAATAAGGGGGGTGGGAACTACCGAAAAAGCGCCGATCTAGCTACTTACTCAGGAGGGTACATCTGAAGTTCCTTTACACGCCCCAAGTAGCTGAACAGTGTCCTCAGCTGTTCCTTGGTGCAGCTTGGAGCTACATTTGTGACTTGAATCACACGCGTCTCAAGCCTGTCGGACATCTTTTCACTTCCAGAACAAGATTTATCCTTTCCTTTTCTATTTCATGCAGGATTCATTTGAGAATTAGATCTAGATCTAGATTCTAGATCTATATCTAAATCTAGGTTGGGACCTTAACCCTCCAAAATCTCGAAAGATTTTTTAAAGTCTATTGTTCCTATTTCGTACTATCGACTTCTGGCTAACGTCGTTTGACAGCGGCGTCCTCGTTAGTGATGGCAATGATAGTACATAACAAGATGGGCCACTTCTCTCTTTGAGCCAATTAAAAAAGTGTCCTCCAAATTTGGTGGCGCCCTCTTCACAAAAGCGCACTCTTTGCGAACAGAGTTACCCTACTTGAGTTTTAAAAAATCAAAGTGAAACTAGCAAGTTTTGGGATAAATTTCGGAAGAACGCTTTTTTTAAATGGTTACGCTGACAAAAAACCTCTTCCGGAGGAAAGGGTGATGGTTTTCTTTGTCTAATTTGACTTTAGAATGAAAGGCGAGAGGTCATTAAAATATAAAAAAAACTAAAACTCCGCACTGAACGTACCCGAACTGCTGATGAACAGCAGTCGATCTGCGCACGCAAGGAGGTGCTATTCCTATTCTTCTTCTGGAAAAACGAAAGAGAGCTTCAAAACAGACTGCAGCGCCATCTGAAGCAAAGAGCATACTTCCTGCGGACACTTTTTGGGCTGAGTGGCCCATCTTGTTATGTATTATCATTGGTGATGGGCAGGTATCGATACTAGATACTCGATACTTAGATACCTATAGGTATCGATATCGGTACCGATACCTGCTATAAACATCGATACCTATGTGCTATCTATCCCAGGGCTGCCAAAGCAAGTGACTTGGGCCTTGAGAATTATTTGTTTATCAAAACTGATAAGTTTTCGTAGGGGGCAAGCGTTTTAAATGAATCTAGTGATTTTTTAAGAAAAAGAGAAATTTTTCATGAAATCTATCTAGTGATTTTGCAAAATCCTCATTGGTTTTAATTTAAAGTTGCTAAAAATCTGGTAAATTGAATTGCCTTTTTAGAACTCTTGTGTTTTTATTTTCCTATACTAACATGTTCTGCAAAGTTGACTTTCCTCCCATACTTCACTTAGTTTGTTTTTTTATTCTCATATTTGGGTATTTATTTCTCTCTCTCTCTCTCTCTCTCTCTCTCTCTCTCTCTCTCTCTCTCTCTCTCTCTCTCTCTCTCTCTCTCTCTCTCTCTTTTACAAACAATTTTTGTTTGAGTCTAAGCTAAATAGTCACAACTTGTCTAGACACGATTACCTAAATACTTGGAAAAGTATAGTTGCATTTTTGTCTTTACCAATGATAGTACATAACAAGATGGGCCACTTCTCTCTTTGAGCCAATTAAAAAAGTGTCCTCAAAATTTGGTGGCGCCCTCTTCACAAAAGCGCACTCTTTGCGAACAGAGTTACCCTACTTGAGTTTTTAAAAATCAAAATGAAACTAGCAAGTTTTGGGATACATTTCGGAAGAACGCTTTTTTAAAATGGTTACGCTGACAAAAAACCTCTTCCTGAGGAAAGGGTGATGGTTTTCTTCGTTTAATTTGACTTTAGAATGAAAGGCGAGAGGTCATTAAAATATTTAAAAAACTAAAACTCCGCACTGAACGTACCCGAACTGTTGATGAACAGCAGTCGATCTGCGCACGCAAGGAGGTGCTATTCCTATTCTTCTTCTGGAAAAACGAAAGAGAGCTTCAAAACAGACTGCAGCGCCATCTGAAGCAAAGAGCATACTTCCTGCGGACACTTTTTTGGCTGAGTGGCCCATCTTATTATTTACTATCTTTGTCTTTACTTATTACCCCCCGGCGTATGTTACTAATAGCATTAGGTATCGAGGTATCGTCTCGATACCTTGAAAAAGTACCAAAGATAGTGAATAACAAGATGGGCCACTCAGCCCAAAAAGTGTCCGCAGGAAGTATGCTCTTTGCTTCAGGTGGCGCTGCAGTCTGTTTTGAAGCTCTCTTTCGTTTTTCCAGAAGAAGAATAGGAATAGCACCTCCTTGCGTGCGCAGATTAGGCTTGGGCAGAATTGAAAAAAATAGGACTTTCAAGTCTCAAGTCCTCAAACCTTGAGACCCGCAAGTCTCAAGCCCAATTTCAAATCCAGGGGACGTAATAAAGTATACATGTAACATGAATAGTATTAGTCTCTTTGATAGTAAAGCCATCAGCATTACTTCCCTTTATCGTTATCATTATTTTGTTGTTCTCCAACCAACAACCTAGATCTAGATCTAGATCTAGGCTATGTTGAGACGTATGGAAAATCTTTGTGATACTTGTTTGGCTGATCTTTTTTTAAATTTTTTTTTCTTCGCTTGTTTGTTTTTTGTTCTGTTCTCTGTTGTATTAATAAACTCAGGAATTGCTTCAGCCTTGGATGGCAATGATGGCATTGAAGCCTTATCCTGGCCTAGGCCTGCCTACCCTTTATCGAGGAAGTGGACTCAACCAATACGCCAAGGGCGAGCAAATCCTAGCAAATAATAGGGGTGGTACTGCCTACCCCTTATCGAAGAAATGGACTCAACCAATCCGCCTAGGACGAGCAAGTTCGAGCAAGTAGTAGGGGTGGTAGGTGTATTTGAATTCAAACAATCAAACTTAAAGCACTAAATTAATAAGAAACATGCCAATTCTTAGCATTCCTTTAGACATTGGTTCACTGAGTCTTTACTCAATGTTTGTAGATCTACTGTGTGTTAAAATAATTGTATCTTTTGATTGAGGGATAGATCTATTTTGCTAGGTCACCCAAGACTTGGACTTGCTCAGTTCTAAATACTTGGTCTCAAACACTACTTGATGGGCACAAGAATTTCAAGTCTCAAGTCCAAGTCCAAGTCCTGCCCAGGCCTAGCGCAGATCGACTGCTGTTCATCAGCAGTTCGGGTACGTTCAGTGCGGAGTTTTAGTTTTTTTTAAATTTTAATGACCTCTCGCCTTTCATTCTAAAGTCAAATTAAACGAAGAAAACCATCACCCTTTCCTCCGGTAGAGGTTTTTTGTCAGCGTAACCATTTTAAAAAAGTGTTCTTCCGAAATTTATCCCAAAACTTGCTAGTTTCACTTTAAATTTTTTAAACTCAAGTAGGGTAATTCTGTTCGCAAAGAGTAAGCTTTTGTGAAGAGGGCGCCACCAAATTTTGAGGACACTTTTATAATTGGCTCAAAGAGAGAAGTGGCCCATCTTGTTATGTACTATCATTGAAAGTACTAGCAATGATAGTACATAACAAGATGGGCCACTCAGCCAAAAAAGTGTCCGCAGGAAGTATGCTCTTTGCTTCAGATGGCGCTGCAGTCTGTTTTGAAGCTCTCTTTCGTTTTTCCAGAAGAAGAATAGGAATAGCACCTCCTTGCGTGCGCAGATCGACTGCTGTTCATCAGCAGTTCGGGTACGTTCAGTGCACCTCTCGCCTTTCATTCTAAAGTCAAATTAAACGAAGAAAACCATAACCCTTTCCTCCGGAAGAGGTTTTTTGTCAGCGTAACCATTTTAAAAAAGCGTTCTTCCGAAATTTATTCCAAAACATGCTAGTTTCACTTTGATTTTTAAAAACTCAAGTAGGGTAACTCTGTTCGCAAAGAGTGCGCTTTTGTGAAGAGGGCGCCACCAAATTTTGAGGACACTTTTTTAATTGGCTCAAAGAGAGAAGTGGCCCATCTTGTTATGTACTATCATTGGTACTAGGTATCGGCATCGATACCTAAATTGGGGTATCGGCCCATCACTAGTCCTCGTTGGCGCGTCGGTCGTCGCCTCGTCGTTCGTCGTACCAAAGATAGTGAATAACAAGATGGGCCACTCGGCCAAAAAAGTGTCCGCAGGAAGTATGCTCTTTGCTTCAGATGGCGCTGCAGTCTGTTTTGAAGCTCTCTTTCGTTTTTCCAGAAAAAGAATAGGAGTAGCACCTCCTTGCGTGCGCAGGTCAACTGCTGTTCATCAGCAGTTCGGGTACGTTCAGTGCGGAGTTTCAGTTTTTTTAAATTTTAATAACCTCTCGCCTTTCATTCTAAAGTCAAATTAAACGAAGAAAACAATAACCCTTTCCTCCGGAAGAGGTTTTTTGTCAGCGTAACCATTTTAAAAAAGCGTTCTTCCGAAATTTATCCCAAAACTTGCTAGTTTCACTTTGATTTTTTAAAATTCAAGTAGGGTAACTCTGTTCGCAAAGAGTGCGCTTTTGTGAAGAGGGCGCCACCAAATTTTGAGGACACTTTTTTAATTGGCTCAAAGAGAGAAGTGGCCCATCTTGTTATGTACTATCATTGGTCGTACGGCACTCGTTCGTATTCGTCTCGGCCAAAGGCCAGGTACTAGGTACATCCACACAAGCGCACACAAGAAAGTTGTTTCGAGTTAAAACGATTGACCAAACCGGGAAAACAGTTAAACACATGGGCAGCTCCCATACAATAAACTATGATTTACAGTAGGGTTTTTTTTTCAACGACATTTTTTTTACAAAGATATCCTCTAGATCTAAATCAACGCTAGGCCTAGCCTAGCCTTTGCTCGATCTCGAGAAAACTGAACAACACTGTCTAGTACTCTTCTTCTACAAGAAGCGAAAGCGAGTATGGTTCCCTGTGTCTGAACTCTCAATCACTAACCCTATATTCATTACATTCAGGCAGTTACTCATACTTTATCAAAGTGTCGTTTTATTCACACTATCAGTCTGCTTGCACTCCTATTCAGAAAACTAGCTAAAAATAATATAGTCCTTTCCAAATTAATGTTACCCAAATTCATGGGTCTCATGCTATACGTTCTTCTCTCTGACCGTCTAGGTCTCATGAGATGTTCAAAGTTTTTGCTAAAATGTCCAAACAGGCAAACAAATAATGGAAGGACGGCAGTAAGGCTGGGCAATGAGTCGCTTTAGCAAAATCCGGATAATAATGTGTTAGAGCACCTCTTCGGCAAATAATATTATGATATGAACCGCTTCGGAAAATGGGTTAGAACCGCTTCGACAAACGGGTTAGCATCACTTCAACAAGTGGGGGCACCCCAAGGAGATTAAAAGTAGTTCTAAACTCCTTGGGGCACCCACTTCGGCAAATGGGTCAGGAAAGAGAGTTAAGAGTCTGAATTCGGATAATGTTTCATTGAGAATTATCCGGTTATCCTTATAAATTATTAGTACATGTATTTTGCCCACAGAGAGTAGAGAGA